CCCCAAAACCCCAAAACCCCAAAACCCCAAAACCCCAAATTTCGAGATTTTTATTGAAAATTTAGCTGATTTTCCTATATTTCCAATAATTTTCACGAATCGGGTCATATACCGTGGCCAATTTGTCAATGACTTCGTTAGCTTCTTCCTTGAGGCCTTCCCCGATTAAGTAATCAAGAAGCAAAATGTTGATGAACCGGTACCCATGAGCCCCCTCTTCGTAATCCTTGAGCATCTGAAGTCATGTCTCTTTGACAAATGGGAAATCGGTGATGATGATTCGTTTAGCACTGGAGTTAGGACGTTGGCTCCTCTTAGCCTCTTCATCTGTTTTGGCAAGGAATCCTCTGATGTATACCCAAGGAGCTTCATTATCAAGCTTGTAATCCTTGATCTGTTGGAACGCATACTGAATTTCTTGCTCAACAGTCTCTTTTCCGAATTCCTTTGTATGGTTCACCAGGAAGTACCTGTAGCTCCAAGCGGAGTTGTTTACAGGATTATCCTGGATCATTTTCTCGATGAACTCCATCTCTCCATCGAAGAGGTTGAAGTACTTGATAAACCAAATCCTGTAGCTCCAAGCGTGATAATTCTTGTCATCACTCTTAAGGATTCCCTCCATAAATTGTTTCTCATTCGAAGGATCATTGAGCTTCTGGACAATACATCTTCTATGATGCCAGATTTGGTAGTTCTTCTCAAGAGCGATACCAATTTTATTAAGATATTTGATTTCATTTTGCCAGTCTTCCTCAGTTCCAATCTCATCGAGGCACTTCCTGCGGATATACCAAGCTGTATAGCAACCATAGTTGACCTTGATAACCACTTGGGTTAGCTCAAGCATTCTTCTACTGATCTCATTTGAGTTCAGAAGTGCTCTGAAGTATCTCATGGCTTCCTCAAATCCTGGAGTGTAATCGATCTTACAGACTCCTGGATCATTCTCTTGTGTGTACTGTTCAACTATACCCAAATGAGTCAAAGATTTTAAAAGGTTTATGAAAGGTAAAAACAAATCTAGAGCAGCTTTAATTGTCTGTAGAGCAAAAAGGCTCTTATAACTTACTTGGTTCGACATCAGCCCACTTGTCTAACTTCTCATCCATTGGAATGTACTCTTTGCCCTCATAAAGGCTCTCGCCATCACTATCTGCCATTTTGACAATATTTTTATTAATTTTTGGGGTTTTGGGGTTTTGGGGTTTTGGGGTTTTGGGG